GATTAAGATGGTTTATTTACCTTGCTAATGTTATGAATGAAAATAAAGTTGTAAAAAAATATTATAAGTGCAGAAAAAACCGCATGATACAAATTGACTGCTCAAAGCAGTACTATTTGATAGGAATTTGTTAAAAATTATAAGAAACATACATGTTAAAGATTGTATTACTTACAAGATTAAGATGATTTATTTACCTTGCTAATGTTATGAATGAAAATAAAGTTCTAAAAAAATATTAGAAGTGCAGAAAAACTACACAATACAAATTGACTCCACAAAGTAGTACAATTTAATAGGAAATTGTAAAAAAATTATAAGAAATATACATGTTAAAAAATTGTATTACTTACAAAATTAAGATGATGATTATTGTTAGTTAGTCCACAAGTATTTAAGATGATTTATTTACCTTACTAATGTTATGAATGAAAATAAAGTTGTAAAATAATATTAAAAGTGCAGAAAAGCTGCATAATTCAAATTAATTCCATAAAGTACTTCAATGTAATAGAGATTTTGTTACTAGTCACAATAGAAATACCTATTATAAATTGTATTACTTACAAGAGGAAGATGACGACTGTTGTCAGGTAGCCCAGGTGTATTTCAGATGAATTTTTTCCCTTGCTAATATTATGAATGAAATTATAGTTCTAATAAAAATATTGCTAATTCCCCTCGCATTTAACTAAAGGAAAACCCGCTTCAATAGTTCGTCAGACTTCTTAGGACAGATTTTCTGTTATTGTGATCTCTTCCTTAAAAAAAGATCATTTAGAAGTGCAGAAATGCTGCACAATACAAATCAACTCCATAAAGTACTACAGTTTAGTAGGAATTTTTCTTATTAATTATAATAAAAATACTCGATACAGATTGTATTACTTACAAGACGAAGATCGCGACTGTTGTCAGTTAATCCACAAGTATTTCAGATGATTTATTGACCTAGCTGGTAACAATAAAATTAAAGTTATAATAAAAAGATGGCGAATTATCTCTTGGCAATACGATACTGCAGTCCCTACTTCAAACGTTCACTCATTAATTCCAACGGTCCGGTCCTACAGCCAGATGCGGACCCTGGGCTCTTCAATGAGCCTTACAAGGTGGCTCGGTCCTGTGCATCCGCTCCCTCATTCCATATTCCCAGTGCACCCCTTAGCATATTAAGTACCCTTAGGCCAGAGTATCCTTAATGACCGCCACGATTCTGGAAGTTTGCTAAATAGCAGTTTCTTTGAGATTCCTTCCGTCGTTCATTTTATTAAGTGTGGTCGACTGAGGCAGGCCAGCAATGTAGCAAGGATGAACCTACTGCAAACATTTCTCACTAATGTCTAAAAACGTTTGTCAGGCTTCTTAGAGCAGTTTTTCTATTATTTCTATCCATTCCTTAAAAAAGACCTATTAGAAGTGCAGAAAAGGTGCACAATACAATTTAATTCCACAAATTACTTTAATTATATTAAAAATACCTGACACAGATTGTATTTCTTACAAGAGAAAGATGATCGACTGCTGTATGTTAGTCCAGATATACTTCGGAAGATTTCTTTTTCATAATTGATATAATCTGAATGATCTCTTGGCATTACAAAGAAGCAGTCCCACCGCAAACATTCATCGGTACCAATGGTCCGGTCCTACAGCCAGATGCGGACCCTGGGCTCTTCAATGTGCCTTTAATAGCGAGGTGGAGGAGTCCTGTGCAGCCGCTCTCCCATTCCGTACACCCAAAAGGGGCCGGGATCCTTAATGACCCCCAATAGTCATGTTTCCCCAATAGTAGGTTCTTACAGATTCCTTCCGTCGTTCATTTTATTAAGTTAATTCAGTGGTTGACTGAGATAGGCCGACAATGTAAAAAGAATGAAGCTAATGCAGACATTTCTCATCCTTAAAAAAAGTCTTTAAGATGTGCAGTGAAACTGCACAAAACAAATTGAATCCGCAAAGTACTTCATTTTAATAGAAATTTTTGTATTAATTATAGTAAAAATACTTATTAGAGATTGTATTACTTACAAGACGAAGACACGAATTTTGTCAGTTAGTCCAGAAGAATTTAATATGATTTTTTTCCTTGCTAATAATATGAATTAAATTGTAGTTCTTATAAAAACATTGTGAATTCCCCTCGCATTAAAATAAAGGAGAACCCACTTCAATAGTTCATCAGACTTCTTAAGACAGATTTTCTATTATTCTTATGGTTTCCTTAAAAAATATCTTTTAGAAGTGCAGAAAAACTGCACGATACAAATTGACTCTACAAGGTACTTACAAGGAAATTTATTTATTAATAATGATAAAAATACCTGATAAAGATCGTAATACATGGCAGCTGATGATGATTTTCCATATTCAGTTAGACCACAAATAGTTCAGATAATTTCTTTAACATGCTAATATTATTCATGAACTTATTGTTCAGATAAAAAAATTATGAATCACATTCCATTAGTCGTATGTTTTCCTTAAAACATATTTTAGAAGTGCAGAAAAACTACACAATACAAATTGACTCCACAAAGTAATACAATTTAATAGGAATTTGTAAAAAAATTATAAGAAATATACATGTTAAAGATTGTATTACTTAAAAGATTAAGATGATGAATATTGTCAGTTAGTGCACAAGTATTTAAGACGATTTATTTACCTTGCTGATGTTACGAATGAAAATTAAGTTCTAAGAAAATATTAGAAGTGCAGAAAAACTACACAATACAAATTGACTCCACAAAGTAGTACAATTTAATAGGAAATTGTAAAAAAATTATAAGAAATATACATGTTAAAAAATTGTATTACTTACAAAATTAAGATGATGACTATTGTTAGTTAGTCCACAAGTATTTAAGATGATTTATTTACCTTGCTAATGTTATGAATGAACATAAAGTTGTAAAAAAATATTAGAAGTACAGAAACACCGCACAATACAAATTGACTCCACAAAGTAGTACTATATGATAGGAATTTGTAAGAAATTATAAGAAATATACATGTTAAAGATTGTATTACTTACAAGATTAAGATGGTTTATTTACCTTGCTAATGTTATGAATGAAAATAAAGTTCTAAAAAAAATATTAGAAGTGCAGAAAGCCACACGATACAAATTGACTCCACAAAGTAGTACAATTTGATAGGAATTTGTAAAAAATTATAAGAAATATACATGTTAAAGATTGTATTACTTAAAGATTAAGATAATGACTATTGTTAGTTAGTACACAAGTATTTAAGATGATTTATTTACCTTGCTAATGTTATGAATAAAAATAAATTTGTTCAAAAAAATATTGCGAATTACCGTAATATTAAAATAAAGAAGAACACGCTTCAAACATTCGTCAGACTTTTTAAGGCACATTTGTTATTATTCTGATCTCTTCCATAAAAAACATCTCTTAGAAGTGCATAAAAACTGCACGATATAAATTGACTCCACAAAGTAATACTGTATGATAGGAATTTGTTAAAAATTATAAGAAATATACATGTTAAAGATTGTATTATTTACAAGATTAAGATGATTTATTTACCTTGCTAATGTTATGAATGAAAATAAAGTTCTAAAAAAATATTAGAAGTGCAGAAAAACTACACAATACAAATTGACTCCACAAAGTAGTACAATTTAATAGGAAATTGTAAAAAAATTATAAGAAATATACATGTTAAAAGATTGTATTACTTACAAAATTAAGATGATGACTATTGTTAGTTAGTCCACAAGTATTTAAGATGATTTATTTACTTTGCTAATGTTATGAATGAAAATAAAGTTGTAAAAAAATATTAAAAGTGCAGAAAAGCTGCATAATTCAAATTAACTCCATAAAGTACTTCAATGTAATAGAAATTTTGTTATTAGTCACAATAGAAATACCTATTATAAATTGTATTACTTACAAGAGGAAGATGACGACTGTTGTCAGGTAGCCCAGGTGTATTTCAGAAGAATTTTTTCCCTTGCTAATATTATGAATGAAATTATAGGTCTAATAAAAATATTGCTAATTCCCCTCGCATTTAACTAAAGGAAAACCCGCTTCAATAGTTCGTCAGACTTCTTAGGACAGATTTTCTGTTATTGTGATCTCTTCCTTAAAAAAAGATCATTTAGAAATGCAGAAACGCTGCACAATACAAATCAATTCCACAAAGTACTACAATTTACTAGGATTTTTTTTTTATTAATTATAATAAAAATACTCGATACAGATTGTATTACTTACAAGACGAAGATCACGACTGTTGTCAGTTAATCCCCAAGTATTTCAGATGATTTATTGACCTAGCTGATAACAATAAAATTAAAGTTATAATAAAAAGATGGCGAATTATTTCTTGGCAATACGATACTGCAGTTCCTACTTCAAACGTTCACTCATTAATTCCAATGGTCCGGTCCTACAGCCAGATGCGGACCCTGGGCTCTTCAATGAGCCTTACAAGGTGGCTCGGTCCTGTGCAGCCGCTCCCTCATTCCATATTCCCAATACACCCCTTAGCATATTAAGTACCCTTAGGCCAGAGTATCCTTAATGACCGCCACGATTCTGGAAGTTTGCTTAATAGCAGTTTCTTTGATATTCCTTCCGTCGTTCATTTTATTAAGTGTGGTCGACTGAGGTAGGCCAGCAATGTAGCAAGGATGAACCTACTGCAAACATTTCTCACTAATGTCTAAAAACGTTTGTCAGGCTTCTTAGAGCAGTTTTTCTATTATTTCTATCCATTCCTTAAAAAAGACCTATTAGAAGTGCAGAAAAGGTGCACAATACAATTTAATTCCACAAATTACTTTAATTATATTAAAAATACCTGACACAGATTGTATTTCTTACAAGAGAATGATGATCGACTGCTGTATGTTAGTCCAGATATATTTTGGAAGATTTCTTTTCCATAATTGATATAATCTGAATGATCTCTTGGCATTACAAAAAAAGCAGTCCCACCGCAAACATTCATCGGTACCAATGGTCCGGTCCTACAGCCCGATGTGTACCCTGGCCTCCTCAATGTGCCTTAGCGAGGTGGAGGAGTCCTGTGCAGCCGCTCTCCAATTCCGTACACCCAAAAGGGGCCGAGCATCCTTAATGACCCCCAATAGTCATGTTTCCCCAATAGTAGTTTCTTTCAGATTCCTTCCATCGTTCATTTTATTAAGTTAATTCAGTGGTTGACTGAGATAGGCCGGCAATGGCAAAGAATGAAGCTAATGCAAACATTCCTCACTAATGTCTAAAAACATTTGTCAGACTTCTTAGAGCAGATTTTCTGTAACTTTCTTCTCTTCCTTAAAAAAAGTCTTTTAGATGTGCAGTGAAACTGCACAGTACAAATTGAATCCGCAAAGTACTTCATTTTAATAGAAATTTTTGTATTAATTATAGTAAAAATACTTATTAGAGATTGTATTACTTACAAGACGAAGACACGAATTTTGTCAGTTAGTCCAGAAGAATTTAAGATGATTTTTTTCCTTGCTAATAATATGAATAAAATTGTAGTTCTTATAAAAACATTGTGAATTCCCCTCGTATTAAAATAAAGGAGAACCCACTTTAATAGTTCATCAGACTTCTTAAGACAGATTTTCTATTATTCTTATGTTTTCCTTAAAAAATATCTTTTAGAAGTGCAGAAAAACTGCACGATACAAATTGACTCTACAAGGTACTTTTATTTAATGGAAATTTAATTATTAATAATGATAAAAATACCTGATACAGATCGTAATACATGGCAGCTGATGATGATTTTCCGTATTCAGTTAGACCACAAATAGTTCAGATAATTTCTTTAACATGCTAATATTATTCATGAACTTATTGTTCAGATAAAAAAATTACGAATCACATTCTATTAGTCTTTTGTCTTCCTTAAAACACATATTTTAGTAGTGCAGAAAAACTACACAATACAAATTGACTCCACAAAGTAGTACAATTTAATAGGAATTTGTAAAAAAATTAAAAGAAATATACATGTTAAAAGATTGTATTACTTACAAGATCAAGATGATTTATTTACCTTGCTAATGTTATGAATGAAAATAAAGTTCTAAAAAAATATAAGAAGTGCAGAAAAACAGCATGATACAAATTGACTCCACAAAGTAGTACAATTTAATAAGAATTTGTAGAAAATTATAAGAAATATATATGTTAAAAGATTGTATTACTTAAAAGATTAAGATGATGACTATTGTCAGTTAGTACACAAGTATTTAAGATGATTTATTTACCTTGCCAATGTTATGAATGAAAATAAAGTTGTAAAAAAATATTGCGAATTACTGTAATATTAAAATAAAGAAAAACAAGGTTCAAACATTCGTCAGACTTTTTAAGGCAGATTTGTTATTATTCTGATCTCTTCATTAAAAAACATCTCTTAGAAGTGCATAAAAAGTGCACGATATAAATTGACTCCAATAAGTAGCACAATTTGATAGGAAAATTTACTCCGGAAATTTACTATATAATGTTACCAGTCTTGGAATAAATAATGTAATTAAAAATTCATCATAATGCAATTATGTGCTAAAAGACATTTAATGCTGGTCATCTAAAAAACTATGAGACCAAGAGACTAATGTTCTAATTGTTTGATTCATATTATGCCAACATAAAGTTCTATTTTAAAAGAATCTCTCAAATGATCTGGTTTAAATAAAAAAATAAAAATTTTAACGAACTTTTCTGAAATAATTATATTAAAAATTTTATATAGTTAAATTAACAAAAATTTGTGTCAAATGAAAATAAACAGTAATCGGGCTAAAATTATGAATATAAATTTTTTTGATGAATTGTCTGATTATTGTACTAACTCGATTCTAGTAGCTAACAATATACTGCAGAAAAATTGTTTGGATTAAATTTTAGGCAAAATGAAATAACATTAACAAAATTTGCAAAAAAAAAAAAAAAAAAAATAAATAAATAACGTTCTGGTTCCGAAATAATAGAAAAAAAAAAATGGATCCATACAGGCTGTCTTTACATAATTTATAGCATTTCAGGATTTAAAACTTTAATGGAGCATTTTTTAAAAAGTTTGATTTTTTCCACAAAAAAATGATAGAAATTTTAAATAACTTTTCAGTAATAATACTGGTTCAAGTTTTAACTGTGTTTTATTTATTTAAATTAACAAAAAATTGCGTCAAATAAAAAATAAACAGTAATTGGGCTAAAATTACATATATAAATAATTTTGAATGAATTGTCTCAGTTGTTATACTTGCTCTGTTCGTGTAGTTAATAATATACTACACAATTAAAATTGTTTTGCTTAAATTTATTAAAAATTAAATTAAATCAATTGCATTAACAGAATTTTTAATTAAAAAAAAAAAATAAGATGTAAGTTCTAGATCCAAAATAACAGGAAAACAATTTAAATATATATCCATTTCAGTCATATCGGAACTAGTTAAAAATAAAAATTAACATTTCATTTTAATATATGTTTAAAAGTGATTATAAATTAACTTTTTAATTTTTTTTTATTTAATAATATTTTACTAAGTAGAAAAAAACAAGATTTCACTAGCGGCTATTGGAAATTATGGCCTGATGCTATATATTTTTTATTTAATATTACTTTATTCCTTAGGTCAATCAATTATAATCTTTCTACCATAGCTAAAATCCATGCATATCAACAACATAATCATGCATACTTCATAAATAAATCAAGATGTAATATATTCTAAATTAATCAACTTCATTGTAAATTGCATACAATGTATTTATAAAATGATGAAGGATGTTTAAAAAAACAAAAATTAGTAAACTAAAATTTTAAATAAATCTTACCTTGTCTTCATGGTGGATGAGGATCGCACTCCATCGCGGGTAGCTGCATGAAGCGACTTCCAATATCCGACTTCTTCGGCACAAGAACGAAACCGAAATAGAGAAATAGAGAGACTCACATCTTAAACTGGACACTAATAGACTCCCATTTTACACTGGACACTACAAGAACTTCACTCTTCGAGATCCCGACGGTAACTGACGTCTGCAGGTCAAAGGACCTGCCCTTAACTAAACCTAACTAGTCAACTAAAATTTTAAATATATTTTACCTTGTCTTCATGGTGGATGAGTATCGCGCTCCATCGCGTGTAGCTGCATGAAGCGACTTCCAATATCCAACTTCTTCGGCACAAGAACGAAACCGAAATAGAGAAAGAGAAGAGAGACTCACATCTTAAACTGGACACTAATAGACTCCCATTTTACACTGGACACTACAAGAACTTCACTCTTCGAGATCCCGACGGTAACTGACGTCTGCAGGTCAAAGGACCTGCCCTTAACTAGACTTAACTAGTAAACTAAAATTTTAAATATATTTTACCTTGTCTTCATGGTGGATGAGGATCGCGCTCCATCGCGGGTAGCTGCATGAAGCGACTTCCAATATCCGACTTCTTCGGCACAAGAACGAAACCGAAATAGAGAAAGAGAAGAGAGACTCACATCTTAAACTGGACACTAATAGACTCCCATTTTACACTGGACACTACAAGAACTTCACTCTTCGAGATCCCGACGGTAACTGACGTCTGCAGGTCAAAGGATCTGCCCTTAACTAAACTTAACTAGTAAACTAAAATTTTAAATAAACCTTACCTTGTCTTCATGGTGGATGAGGATCGCGCTCCATCGAGGGTAGCTGCATGAAGCGACTTCCAATATCCGACTTCTTCGGCACAAGAACGAAACCGAAATAGAGAAAGAGAAGAGAGACTCACATCTTAAACTGGACACTAATAGACTCCCATCTTACACTGGACACTACAAGAACTTCACTCTTCGAGATCCCGACGGTAACTGACGTCTGCAGGTCAAAGGGCCTGCCCTTAACTAAACTTAACTAGTAAACTAAAATTTTAAATAAATTTTATCTTGTCTTCATGGTGGATGAGGATCGCGCTCCATCGCGGTTAGCTGCATGAAGCGACTTATAATATCCGACTTCTTAGGCACAAGAACGAAACCGAAATAGAGAAAGAGAAGAGAGACTCACATCTTAAACTGGACACTACTAGACCCACATCTTACACTGGACACTACAAGAACTTCACTCTTCGAGATCCCGACGGTAACTGCGTCTGCAGGTCAAAGGGCCTGCCCTTAACTAAACTTAACTAGTAAACTAAAATTTTAAATATATTTTACCTTGTCTTCATGGTGGATGAGTATCGCGCTCCATCGCGGGTAGCTGCATGAAGCGACTTCCAAGGCACAAGTACGAAATCGAAATAGAGAAAGAGGAGAGAGACGCACATCTTACACTGGACACTACAAGAGAGAAAGAGAAGAGAGACTCACATCTTACACTGGACACTACAAGGACTTCACCCTTCGAGATCCCGACGATAACTGACGTCCGCAGGTCAAAGGGCCTGCCCTTTATAGGAGTCCTCCAGGAGTAGGGGTAGGGACTAGAAGATTCCAGACTGGAACTTTCAGTAACAGTCGTAAGGGGCGGTCTTTTGTTGTCTTGGCTCTTTAATTAAGAAAAGACTTGTTTTTTAAAAATTGTTAAGGAAATAATTTAAATGTACGTTAAATGAGTCTCCTATTCCATGATCTATTTTTTTTTCTATTTATTAGGTTGGAAAATGATATTTTGGAAAATATAAAAATATTGTTTTTTCTTTTAATTTCCGATTTTATTATCTAGTAAATAAAATACAAATATCTATTTTATTTTTTTTAAATACAGCTATAAACAATATATTTTACTTCTTCAAACGCATAATATAAAAAATCTATTTTAAAATACTTTATTTGAAATCTTGTCCAGATCTGATGAGTCACATAAACTTTTCTTCAATAATATATTTTCAAGAAATCTTCATATTAATAATAACGTCTTGTTAAACTCTACAACCAGTGTTTTTTTTTTTCAACAAGTAAGATAAAAATGGAAAACACGTGGCTCAAAATAAAAAACAAAATTAAGAAAGAAAAATATGCTTACTAAATAGTATCGTTTTATATCAATAAGGCAATTAAAACAAGTTAGGTTTTTTTTTCCCCTGACTCTTGAAATGCATTTATTTTTATACACTTTAAAAACTTAAATGATTACTTTAAATGAAAGATTATATTTCCAAAATAAATAAAACATATGAGCCAAAAAAAATGTATGAAATTGAAGCATAATAATACTGACTATTAGTTGTATTATTATTTTTTTACATAACTTTCATTAACAGAAAGTGTATGATGAATCAGTATCAATTTATAAGCATACAATATATAACGGAATGTAATGATTATTCTTATTTTTCAGAGATTACAAACTAAACAATCAGTTAATATTAACTAGGCAATGAAAAGCTAAACCATTATTATTAATGGTGGTTTTATAGACGCCAAAATGATATTCAACGAAATTGTTACTTTAAAACAAAAAGAAATTAAAACTGATTTTCTTTTAAATACAAATAATCAAACTGCATTTCTTGAAATAATATAATTTAATATTCCTTGTCACCTAAAAATGTTATGTGTAAACAAATAAAATATTCTACTGACCTCATTTCATCTTTCTTATGTCAAATAATAATAATAATATCACCTGCTGACTTTAAATAATAGTAATGCCATTTTATTTCTTTTTAAATTTTAAATAAGAAAAGCTTGCTACTTTATAAAAACATATACTAACAAAAAAAACTATCTTAAGATGGATCAGCAGATAAATAGTGCAACTTCATCGAGTCAAAAAACTCACTGATCGTTATTTTTTTTTGTCAAACTTCATTGTTTCTCTGCCATCATAATTTTAAACAATTGTTTCTTTGCCCCACTCACTAATAGTTTTCTGCTAATCTTTATTTTCGTGTCTTATTTATTCTTATATTAAATTAATAAATAAATATTTGGGATTAAATATTAAATAATTCTAATTTTAATTGCCAAAATTAACACGTAAAATATGATACGACATGATCTATTGGCCTCTGTAACAATCATGTACGCCATAACCTTTGGAACAGATTTTTTACTTGATTACTTGATTACGTTATTGTTTTTTAAATTAAACTTTTTGAGTTTTGAAATAATAAAGTAGAAAAATTTTGAATGAGGTAATATGAGACTTTAAATTAAAGAAAACACCAAAAAGTAAATTAATGTGCGTTTAGACATTTCGCAAACTACGGGAAACATAATCATCTAACTTGTTATTGTTGAATCGATAATATGAAACAATATTCTTCAACGTTGTATATATAGTACAAATTTCAGTCTACACTTCGTTTTTAAATTTTCAAAACGAACTTTTAAATATTTTTTCCCTATACTAATGTTTTCCATCTGCTATGGTTAACAAATGGGAAAAAAGAATTAGTTTAGTTCTAATGTAGGTGTTAGTTAAGTTAGAAAATCGTGTTTCCTTTAGTTTGGGAAATGTTTAAACGCGTTTTTAAATTAGAAATTGTCAGTATTTGTTTACAAAGGTATGCACATGGTTTTACTTTCACTTTAACTTTGTCGGTATCTCTTCTTTCTACTGGGTGCGTACTTAGTCGACCCTCTACCTGCCATTTTATTGCCACTTATTGTCAGGCATTTATGGCCCTGCAATATACCTAGTTTCCATTAGTCCTTTGAAATATTTTTCTTATTTCTGTAGCATATTTATGGTCTACAGGTACTCCAATAATATTGTATAAAGATAAGTGATTTTTAGTTACTTAAACTCTACAACCAGTGTTTTTTTTTCAACAAGGAAGATAAAAATGGAAAACACGTGGCTCAAAATAAAAAACAAAATTAAGAAAGAAAAATATGCTTACTAAATAGTATCGTTTTATATCAATAAGGCAATTAAAACAAGTTAGGTTTTTTCCCCCCTGACTCTTGAAATGCATTTATTATTATACACTTTAAAAACTTAAATGATTACTTTAAATGAAAGATTATATTTCCAAAATAAATAAAACATATGAGCCAAAAAAAAATGTATGAAATTGAAGCATAATAATACTGACTATTAGTTGTATTATTATTTTTTTACATAACTTTCATTAACAGAAAGTGTATGATGAATCAGTATCAATTTATAAGCATACAATATATAACGGAATGTAATGATTATTCTTATTTTTCAGAGATTACAAACTAAACAATCAGTTAATATTAACTAGGCAATGAAAATTTGAAAATATTTGCTATTTTTATAATGCAGTGGAATTAAATATTAAGATTATCTAATGGAATATAGATAGGTCTAAAAAATATATGACAAAAACTTACTGAAGCAAAAATCAATATTTTAAATAAGTGTAAATTATATGCTTATTATTTTATTTACGAAAATTCTGGGAATTGGTGCGTTTTCAATCTGGAGATCGGCAAACTTTGTCTATTTAATTTGGTACTAAAACGCGTAAATACCTTTTTGCTTTTCACTTGGATCGTAAGATAATTTAATTACAAAATCGATAAAAAAAAGTGGCCTATAAAAATATAGGCCGTTTAGCCTGTATAACCTCGTTATTTTGACAATTTGGGGGTGTAGGTCACGCCAAACAGCCCTATACTTGTCTCGACTTTGTGCTCAAATCATCTTACGAATAAAGTGGAAAACAAATGGGTTCTTACGAGTTTTTAGTAAATAATTAAATAGACATAGTTTGCCGGTTTCCATATTAAAATTTATTAAAACATTTTTACACTATTTATTCATATCATGTATAACAATAGTTGAATTTATTTTATACATACAAAGATCTTGCTAGCCAAAGACAAAGAACTATTTTAGCTTGCTCATATGTTAAAATTTTTTAATAAATTAAAAAAATATAAAAGTATCTCTTTTGTAAAAACCGGAACACACTGCTTCCCCTTTCGTTGCCGGTATCTCTCCTTTCGACTAGGTGCGTACTTAGTCGACCCTCTACCTGCCATTTTATTGCCACTTATTGTCAGGCATTTATGGCCCTGCAATCTTCCTAGTTTACATTAGTCCTTTGAAATATTTTTCTTATTTCTGTAGCATATTTATGGTCTATAGGTACTCCAATAATATTGTATAAAGATAAGTGATTTTTTGTTACTTTATTTATTTAAAATATTTGCTATTTTTATAATGCAGTGAAATTAAATATTAAGATTATCTAATGGAATATAGATAGGTCTAAAAAATATATGACAAAAACTTCTGAAGCAAAAATCAATATTTTAAATAAGTATAAATTATATGCTTATTATTTTATTTAAGAAAATTCTGGGAATTGGTGCGTTTTCAATCTGGAGATCGGCAAACTTTGTCTATTTAATTTGGTACTAAAACTCGTAAATACTTCTTTTCTTTTCATTTGGATCGTTAGATAATTTAATTACAAAATCGATAAAAAAAAGTGGCCTACAAAAATATAGGCCGTTTGGCCTATATAACCTCGTTATTTTGACAATTTGGGGGTGTAGGTCACGCCAAACAGCTCTATACTTGTCTCGACTTTGTGCTCAAATCATCTTACGAATCAAGTGGAAAACAAATGGGTTCTTACGAGTTTTTAGTAAATAATTAAATAGACATAGTTTGCCGGTTTCCATATTAAAATTTATTAAAACCTTTTTACACTATTTATTAGTATCACGTATAACAATAGTTGAATTTATTTTATACATCTAAAGATCTTGCTAGCCAAAGACAAAGAACTATTTTAGCTTGCTCATATGTTATCAATTTTTTAATAAATTAAAAAAATATAAAAGTATCTCTTTTGTAAAAACCGGAACATACTGCCTTTCTTTCATTGTCGGTATCTCTTCTCTCGAATAGGTGCGGACTTAGTCGACCCTCTACCTGCCATTTTATTGACACTTATTGTCAGGCATTTATGGCCCTGCAATATACCTAATTTCCATTAGTCCTTTGAAATATTTTTCTTATTTCTGTAGCATATATATGGTCTACAGGTACTCCAATAATATTGTATAAAGATAAGTGATTTTTAGTTACTTTATTTATTTAAAATATTTGCTATTTTTATAATGCAGTGGAATTAAATATTAAGATTATCTAATGGAATATAGATAGGTCTAAAAAATATATGACAAAAACTTACTGAAGCAAAAATCAATATTTTAAATAAGTATAAATTATATGCTTATTATTTTATTTACGAAAA